TCCAAACCTCAGAACCTTTTTGAATTTTAAACTTAAACTCACCGAAATCTTTTACAGCACATAGTTTTTATCTTAAACATATTCACACGGGCTCAGACACACTCACACAGATCTTAAAGTGCACAAAAATAAAAAGCAGTTGTACATACATTTTCTGAAATTTTCAGTGGTAGATAAAACTTTTTAACAAAGTACTTATCTGGACCACAATTTTTCCAGGGCTTGCTTGTTTAGCCAGGCATCTTACCAATTGGCCTTTTGAATACCTTCAGTTGGAGGAAGGCTGGGTGAGGGTCACCTGAAACTAAACTGGCCTGACTCTTGTCTTTTATCCAATCTTAGACAAGAGCACTTTATAACCATTTGCACTGACAGGACCAGCCAATGTCTGAACCAGGCTCACAGCCATCTACACCCTCCCCTCTGGCAGCTTCCACAAGGAGAAAATGCAGCCTGAGCCTTGTAGTCAGGCAATCTCAGAATTTTCAAGGCAATTCAGATTAAATCACAAGTCCCATTAACAAAGATCTTTTAGCAAGCAGAATACTTGATAACTTTGAAACCATGACCCTTTTACACATTTTACATATAGACAAATAGGCAGACAAGTTTGTGCACAAATCATAGAGCGCACTTAAGATTTTAATATTGGCCGTTTAATTAAGAGTTTTTGGAATTTTCGTGGCGATATTTTGCCTAATTATGATTGAACCACGCAGTCAGTTAAAAAAACTTTGCCAACAATAAAAAACTTTTCAGTAGACAGGAAAAAGGACATGAACACAGACATGTGGCATGCCACAACAAGAACAGAAAACCTTTTAGCTAAGCTTCTTCTTTACAATGATGCAGTAATCTTTTTATACTTTGTTCCTTTTTTTCCTGTTCATCTTTTTTTTTTGGGGGGGGCGGTCCGGTTGTGGGGCCTGAACTCTGGGCCTGGGTGCTGTCCCTCAGCTCTTCAGCTCAAGGCTAGCTCTCTACCACTTGAGCCACAGTGCCACTTCCGGCTTTTTTTCTTTTTGCTTATGTGGTGCTGAGGAATGGAACCCAGGGCCTCAGGCATGCAAGGCAAGCACTCTACCACTGAGCCACCTTCCTAGCCCCTTCCTGTTTATCTTTTAATTTTTCTGTATATTCTCATCAATGTGCTCTTCTTACATTGTTTTTAACTCTCTGCCATGTTTTCTCTATTGAAAAATTCCTTATTGGGGAACCATGGGTTATGCTTACAAACAGTATTGAGATACTTTAGAAGTAGTTCTTTGGACAACTCTGCTCCACTTTTCTTAAGAAAGTGATGTCCCATAATGAAATTTTTTTCCCCATAACTCTTTCTGTGGGGACACTGTGTCCTTCTAATAAAACTCCTCCAGGTCCTTGTTTGAGTGCCACTTGTTGTTGCTCACACAGCAAGATCTGGGAATGCAGTGCCTAGTAGGCAGAGTGGACTACACCTTGTGGTATAGCTTATTAAAAGCACTATATGCTTGTATATAACAGACACACAAAGAAAGTTAATCGTAGTCAACAAACATGAAACAGTTTTATGTGATCAAAAGGTTACAAGAGATAAGCAAGGCCCAGGTGATTTTTCCTCACACATAAAGGGAGTGTGAGGAAGTGTTTTGAGGTCATTCAGAGGAGCATGTAGAGCATGTTCCACATGTCTTCTGAGACTGTGGCCAGGCATCTGGACTGTTTGCCTAGACTTTGAAGTTTATCTCCTTCCTCCCAAAACTGCAGCTGGGTGTCCCTACTGTTTTCTGGACTGTGGAGGAGTTTTCTCCTCGTACAGTAGTAGCACATACAAGCTCACATATTACACAAATCCTCAGATGGGGTCACGTTGACCGGTGCCTCAGACAGAAGTATATAGGTGATTAATTTTAGTAATAGTTTTCTTTTAACCCATTACATTTAAATAATGTAATGGAATATACAAATCCTTAGTGATAGTATACAGCTTAGAAAATCATATTTTACCTATAGAGCATCTTGAGTGTTCAACAGTTGCAGGTAGGTCGTGGATACTATTTTTGACAGTGCAGCTGTAGATTGATAATTTTGAGCTGATGTGTTTATAAATGCTTACTAGATAAAGTCTTTTTACCTCACATAAGATGACATAGAAGAAAATAAAACATAAATATAGATACTATTAAAATACAGCGACCCACTGACATTTGGAATTAATGTTAAATTTCCGTTATATCCCCAAAATTTGTATTCACGATTTTCTAGTATGAAAACCCCAATCACAGCTCAAGTATTTGAATTGCTCTTTTTCAATTTTTAGTTAAGCTCATTTTTCTAAGTATTGAATTTTATAGAAATAAAGATTTCTGCACCAGGGTATGGTGATGCATGCCTATGTAATGACAGCTAATTGAGGAAATGGCTAGAGGTATGACTTAGAGGTAGAGTGCCAGCCTAGCAAGTGCAAAGCCTTGAGTTTAAATTCTGCTTCTGCTTTTTAAAAGAATACCCAGAATACTAGACTGTATACTGCACATTGAATTTGGAGAAAGTACCTCTTATTAGTTTAAAATATGCAAGTAACTTTCTTAGGTAGGGAGTACTGAGCTAATAAAATTGTGTATTGCTTATATTACATCTCTTAAATACAGCCACTACTTTACCATAAAATGTCCTTACTTCAAAATTATTTGTGTATATTTGCTACTTTTTCTAGAATTGTAAAAACCAATTTCTGTGCCTTCTCTTGACCCATAGATGTTTATGTCTCTCTGTGTCTTATTTTGCTAATGAGGCTTTAGTAGGTGTGGAAAAGGACTTGTAACTTGACTGTTTAAAAGATTCATAACCATAACATATCTTCTGTTACTACTAATTTGAAGTTTATTTACTGTATTTAATGTAATTTTCTAATAAGGGAATATAACTGATCAATACAGAATTTTCTACTGAGAGAGTGAATGGTTGAAACATTTGGGTGTGCAATTTGTAGATCTTTTGGATCACTACTTAAACTTGAATTGCTTAAATTACCTAGGGATCTTTTATTTTTGCCAGTCTAGGGGCTTGAAGCAGGGTCTAGCCTCTGTCCCTTCTTTTTCTCAAGGCTAACGCTCTACCACTTGAGCCCACAGTGCCAAGTCTGGTCTTTTCTGAGTGGTTTATTGAACATAGGAGTCTCAGGGACTTTTTCCTGGGCTTACTTCAAATCTTGATCCTCAAATCTCAGCCTTCTGAGCAGCTAGGATTACTGGCATGACTGATGAATACCCAGGAGGAATCTTATTAAAATGCAGCTTCTGTTTCAGTAGTTTTCAGTGGAACCAATCCTGCTTTTCTGAGCTTTCAGAACCAATCCTTCTTTTCTGAGCTTTACTTATGTTTATCCTTTCACTAGTAAGGATACAAAAGCTTACTTTGTAAAAGGAGGAAATTGAACTCTAGAGAATTTTACTGACTTGCCCAAATTTTCAAGATTGATTAGTGATGATCAAGACTGTATCATTGAGTGTCTTGGTTTGAAACTTGTTCTTTTTAATGTGTTGGTATTTCCATATTTATAGTTATTGTTTGCTTTACTTTCAAAGCTAAAATTTTTACTTGGTAAAGATGATACATTTACATATTATATTTCAAATATTGTATTATATTTCCTTTTGGGAGTTCTAAGAATCATCTTTAAAAGAAGCCTGAGTTACCTTGGTTTCTAGTAAAATTTTCAGCAATTTGTTCTGAAGAGTTCTGTTGATTTTCCCTTGCTAAAGTGCTGTCACTTAGAAATAGCGGGAAAGTTTGAATTGTAGTATACTGTTAAAATGATCTTTAAAGACTTACTAATGTAGTAAAAATTACATAGCCTTTAAGTAGTCTATTCTTACTGCAAACCATTAAAAAAATTAAAAGCAAATTAAAACGCACATGGCTATTCTCAAAAAAAAAAAGAAATATAGCTGCAAGGATAAATACTTTTACATCAAGGATATAGGATTATATTTATTATAAGGGGAAAACACTTGTTTATTTATTTAGTGTGTTTTCCCAGTTGGGTGATTAAGCACTAAAGCAAATGTTTTTAAGCATCAAGAGATTTTAGTTTATCGGATTAACTTCTTGAGTTTTAGAGTAACATAAGACTGGAAGATCAGACATCATCATCTGAAAAGTTTGTTATTTCCATGTTAGCAGATAAGTGTCTTAGGGATTGTGTATTTCAACAGAAACATTTATTTGATGGATATTTTAGGGAGAGCCTTTTTGATGTCTTAGGTAAAAACAAGTGCCATTGACTTATCTGACAGGAGAAATTTGCTTAATGAAGTTGTTCTGTGGACAGCTGCAACATGTTGCATTCTGTTTCTAATGTGTGCTACAAATATGTTCAGACCATTGACAACATGAACCGCAGTATAGTGGCTGTGGAGGAGGCCCATTTTAAGTTATGCTTAATCCTCATTTTACCAGGTTTCTGAATGGTTTGAAATTTTAAGAGTACTTTTGTCCAAACTCTCTTTTTTATATGTATTTGTATATTAAAAAAAAATTCATCTCATAAAACCAAACCACAGTTTTTCACAACAGAACCTAGTACTCAAGTTTTTTACCTTTCCCGTTCTATTATCAAAATCTTAACTTTATTTTATATTCCTCTGGTCTTTTTGCTTTTCTCCTATTAAAAAAATACTCCTTTGGAAAAAATAATTTGGCATTCTTCATGATGTGCCTCCAGCTTTAGCAGTTTGATTAGTATCCTTTTGGCTTGGGTTAGAAGGATTTAAAAATAAGAATATGTTAGATATGTTGGACATAAGCAGCTTGAAAAAGGCATCTTGTGGAAATAGACCCTTGGGAAACACTTAGATGGGGAACATTTTGGAACCTGTGAAATGGAATTTACTAGAAAGTTAGTGGTGCTACTGTTTTCCTAGCCACTCTACTTGTGACAGTTACATGTAGATTGAGCCCAGGGCTCAGCACATTAGAGACTTAAGGAAGAAATCATTTCTTCAATTTTTCCTCTGCAGTGGTGGTGACCGCGGTGGCTTCAAAAATTTTGGTGGTAAGTGCTGAGTATCCCAAAATGTTTCAGTGGAAATGCTATATAAATCTAAAAGCCACCAATATCCCTCAGATGCAGTCTATGCCCTTTCTTACTCTATTGAGGCTGGTGTGTTGTGTGCTTTTTTAAAAAAAAAAAAATTTATATATATAGTCTACACACATATCAAAGTAAATGTTAAAAAACCGAAGTTGATCTCAAATAGTCCATGGGTTTCTACACAGTGTATATGCATGAAAGAATCTGGTGACCAATGAATGAGAACTTCACTGAATTTTGACTATGTTTTTTCTTTTATAAGGTAGCTGACGTGGTGTTTTAAAATTATTAGGGTTTTCCAATCAGCTTTTACAATCAGAGCTTAAGAAAAATGATAATAGCAATAATGATAAAGTGGTGGTACCATCTTAAACAAGTTTAAGGAAATGTTGACGTTCATCTTAGTTTCTTAAGCCTTTAGTAAAAGTTTACGTAGTCTGTAAATTTGTGATGATTGACTTTCAAGGATTTTGAAATTATTGACAAAAATTTTATGCCTTGGTTATTATTACAGTTTTGTTTTTAAATATTTCAAATATGTCTTAAAATAGCTTTTTCTTTCTCTTAGGTCACAGGGATTATGGACCCAGACCAGATGCTGGTAAGGTTCATGATAGTTTGTGATTTTGCAGTTAAGAAGATGTTAATTTTCTGTTTATTGAAGGAGAGAGTGGGAGGGATTAGTAGTGGAGGGACATTTAATTTAATAGTACTACCAGAACTAAGGAGTTTCATTTCTAAAGAAATGCCAGGAGAAAAAAATTCAGGGAAAATTTGCTAGGGAAGTAGGTTTAAGCTTTCCCATGTTCTACTTTTCTTAATTTTTGCTACTAATAAGCATTATCTAATTATTATAACCAGATTTGATGAAAGAATTGATATCCTTGGTAAATTAGAGTTAGAAAACCATGTTTAAGCAATACCTATATTATATATTATGTGGTATATATACCTATGGTATATATTATGTGGTAGTATCTATATTATATGGTGGTCCACAACTATAATCCTGGCTATGCAGACAGGAGACAGCTCAGGAGGATGAGATTTGCGGTCAGCCTTTACAAAAAATTAGCAAGGCTCCTATTTCTACCAATAAGCCAGGCATTATTATTCATATCTGTAATCCAAGCCATGTGAGGCAAATATGTAGGAGTTTCTTTGTCTGAGTCCAGAGCAGAAAAATATAAGACCTTAAGCAAAAAATAAACCAGTATGTATGGCTCAAGTTGTTGAGTACCTACCTATTAAACATGAAACCCTGAATTGAAACCCCATAACTGCAGTCGAAACAAAAACTTCTGTTAATGGATTTTTATCTGTTTGGAGTACCTAAGAAATTTGAGTTCAAACATGAAAAAATTGTTTTAGTCCGGGAATAAGTCACTAATTTTATGTGGCTTTTTATTTTTAAATGAAATTGAAGGCTGTAGATTTACTCATGGAGCCTTTTGAAAATAAGTTAACGATTTAGTGGTTAAAAATTTCATTTGAGCCAAAAAATTTAATATATATTGAAATCAGAACTTTTGTTTTTATTAAGATGCCAAAGTATTCTATATGGATGGCAATTTCTGAATTATCCCTTGATGGACTGAATTTTTATACATCTTTCTTACTTTGTTGTACTAATCCAAAAGTGTGCGTGTAAGGTAAGGTGTGTGTACCAGGTGCTCCTACCCTCTCATATGTACAAGGCTTATCGCAATGAATGGGAAACCAGCATTCTGCTTGGCTTGCTTGGAAGTCCACAGTGTTGGATTTGGGGGAATTCTGTATTTGAGAGCCTCTTAAAAAAACTGACGTCATAAAAAAAATTCTCCAGAGAAAGGAATGCTAATTTAAATTAACCCTCTTAGTCTCTTTATGAGCTTTAGTCTATTCCTGAATTTGAAGTGAGATTTTTAAGATCTCCCTTAATTGTTCTGTATGTATGTCACAGAGTGTGGACTTGATGCACTTTACCAAGAAGTGATTTACCTTCAACTATTGTGAACACATTGCATGTTTATTTAAGATTCTTCGTATGGTCGATTTTCTTTTATTTTGTTCTTAGAGATGGTTGACTACTAGACAGTAAGTTATTGTTCTAGATTACTGTAGTAGAACCAAGGAATATGTCAAATTAACCGTAATATTTTCTCCTTTAGATTCAGAGTCTGACAATTCAGATAATAACACAATCTTTGTGCAAGGACTTGGTGAGGGCGTGTCTACAGATCAAGTAGGAGAATTCTTTAAGCAAATAGGAATTATCAAGGTGAGTAGAAAGTAGGGTATATGTTGAAAATGTCCTAATTCTTAAGATACTCTTAAATTATACAAATTACTTAACTCGCCTATGTAGTCTATTCACTAAGAGTTGTCTTAAAGTCCTTGGATATATATGTTTACCATGTGCATATATCTTTGCTAAACAGATGCAGATTTTATCCCTTGCTTGTGTTTAAATCTTCTACAGTTTCTATTGTGCTTTAGCTTTAATCCCAGGGCTCTACAAATAGTGTCTGATACACTCCAAAAATTGTGAGAACAAGAGGTGATCATGAAAATAAACATTTTATAGATTCTAAAATGAGTATATCCAAACCCAAGTAATTAACATTTAATGTCTCACATATAAGTGCAGTATTATTTTATGATTGTTTATTGTTCACTTGAGCTTGCACTCTTCATTTCTAGGAATTTTTAATTCTTTTTTTTTTTTTTTTTTTTTTTTTGGGGTCCGGTCGTGGGGCCTGAACTCTGGGCCTGGGTGCTGTCCCTCAGCTCTTCAGCTCAAGGCTAGCGCTCTACCACTTGAGCCACAGCGCCACTTCCGGCTTTTTTCTTATGTGGTGCTGAGGAATCGAACCCAGGGCCTTGAGCATGCAAGGCAAGCGCTCTACCACTGAGCCACCTTCCCAGCCCCGGAATTTTTAATTCTTTAACTAAAAGCCTGAAGAGGGTTTTAAAGTATGAATAGTACTTGCTTGGAGTCAATTTATGTTAATCCTTTTTGTAGTGTCAGAGGAATTGGTCTATTTGTACATGAAATATATAAGTATATCAAATTTTTTGAGCTGGGATGTATCTCAGTGGCAAAGCACTTGCCTAGCAAGTGCATTATCCTGGGTTTGATCCCTAGTACCAAAAAAGAAAAGGCAAAAAAAATAAAGTTAAAAAAAAATCAACTCTTTTTTTCCTCGCTTGTTTTTACTTTGCTGTTTCTCCTCACAGCTAGTGCTCTTACCTCGTAAGCCATAGTTATACTTCTGATTTTTCAATGGCTAATTGGAATTTTGTATGCTTAGGATTATAGGCATGAACTAGTGACACCCAAATTGGCCATGTAGATTGGAGACTAAACCCATGGCCTCTTATATGCTAGGCAAGTGCTTAGCTACATCTCCAGTCAGTCTAATAACATCTTTATAGCTTGGTATTTAGTTAATGTAGCTTGTCCAAACCTATAGGTAACTTTTTTTTCCAGAAACTTAATTTTTTTGGAGGGGAGGTCAGTGATGGGGCTTGAACTCAGGGCCTGGGCGCTGTCCCTCAGCTCTTCAGTTCAAGGCTAGTGCTCTACCATTTGAGCCACAGCACCACTTCCACTTTCCTGGTGGTTTATTGGAGATAAGTCTCACGAACTTTGCTGCCTGGGATGAACCATGACCCTTGGCCTCAGCCTCCTGAGTAGCTAGGATTACAGGTGTGAGCCACAGGTGCCCAGCTGAAATTTAATTTTTTTTTTTTTTTTTTTGGTCGGTCGTGGGGCTTGAACTCTGGGCCTGGGTGCTTGTCCCTCAGCTCTTCAGCTCAAGGCGAGTGCTCTACCACTTGAGCTACAGTGCCACTTCCAGTTTTCTGGTGGTTTATTGGAGATAGGAGTCTCACAGTCTCTCCTGCCTGGGCTGGCTTTGAACCGCGATCCTCAGCTCTCAGCCTCCTGAGTAGCTAGGATTACAGGTGTGAGCCACCAGCGCCCGGTGAAACTTAATTTTTTTTCAAACTTTAAATAGTTGTACAAAGGGGTTTTAACTCCTCAGTTTATAAGTGCAGTGTTTCTTGGTCACTGTTACTCCTATTGTTCTCCTCCATCTTTTCCAATCCACTCATACTCTCGTTAACGTGGTTCCATTTTCACATATATACATTGAGTATTATGCTATTTGTCCATCCTTTCTCTACATTTGTCTGTTCCCAACCCCTGACAAAATATGTTTCAGCTTCCTGGTATTCATTTTAGATAACTTCTTTTTTATGCTAAGTGTACCATAATTTTGTAGTATGGATGTGTAAATGCCTTTAAAAATTTTAACATAATAATGGCACATGGCTTTTCTTGAAATGCTAATACCAGTTTGTTTTTTCTTTAGACAAATAAGAAGACTGGAAAACCAATGATAAATCTTTACACAGACAAAGACACAGGGAAGCCAAAAGGAGAGGCAACAGTATCGTTTGATGACCCCCCTTCAGCCAAGGCAGCTATTGACTGGTTTGACGGTATGTCTCATTCATATAGCATTGGAGAAATATCCTGGGAGATAGTGGTTCAATTTATGCTTGCTTTAGTAGATACTAAAAATATAGGCCAGAGTTTTTATATTCCTTTAGGAATGAGATAGATGCTAAACTTTTTTGTCTAGAATATTTGTTTTTTTTTATTTTTATTTTTATTAATAAGTTTTTTTTAATTGTGAAAATACCATACAGAGGGATTACAATTACATGAGCAAGATAATGAGTACATTTCTTTTTTTTTTTGTTGGTTGTGGGGCCTGAACTCTGGGTCTGGGCGCTGTCCCTCAGCTCTTCAGCTCAAGACTAGCACTCTACCACTTGAGCCACAATGCCACTTTTGGCTTTTTCTGGTTATGTAGTGCTGAGGAATCGAACCCAAAGCCTCATGCATGTGAGGCAAGCACTCTATCACTGAGCCACCTTCCCAGCCCAATGAGTACATTTCTTAGCAAGCATTGTTGCCTCCTCCTCTGTTTCCCCTTACCATCCCTGCCCTCCCATCTGCGCCCCCTAACTGCTCAGAATATTTCTTATATCCTACCTTGCACATGAGGCCTAACACTGATAGAGATAAATGGAGTTGGTTTGGTTGACTACAAGAATAATTCTAAGAATTTTCAATTTTATTTTGAGACAGGTGTTACTACATAGCTCAAGGGGCTGAGAATGTGGCTTAATGGTACAGTGTTTGCCTAGCATGCCCAAAGCCCTGGGTTCAATTCCTCAGCACCACATAAACAGAAAAAGCTGGAAGTGGCACTGTGTTAAGAGTGCTACCCTTGAGCAAAAAGGAACTCAGGTCCTGAGTTCAAGCCCCAGGACTGGCAAAAAAACAAAAACCAAAAAACCCCAAAAACTGTGTAGCTCAAGGCTATCTAGAACTCTCAGACTTTCTGCCTCAGCTTCCTGAGTGTTGGGATTACAAGCGTGTGCCACACCCAGCTATATTCCTGCTTTTTTTTATTCAACATCTCTTTCTCCATGTTATTACACATTTATTTTTTGTTCACTAATAACTAACACGTAGTATGTGTTAGCCAGGATTTATGAGTTAGACACAATTCTAAGAAGTATAGATGTATTAACTCAATCCTCATAGTAATCCTATGATTCTGTTCGCATTTTATAAATGAGCAGCGGCATAGGGAAGCCAAGACAGTTTCTTTGGCAGTGTTGGGTTTTGATTGAACTCAGTGCTTTGTGATTGCTAGGTAAGTGCTCTGCCACTGAGAAACTAAGTAGTTTCTTAGATCACAGAGTTAATGACAAAGTTAAGACTTAAACTTAGGCATGTAGGCTTCACTGTCTCCAAAATCCTTAACCATGCTGGATTGATAGATACATAATACCCCTTCCATTTAATTAACAAGGTAAGTATGCCAGTGTCTTTCAAAAGAAATAAAATAATTTTTTTTAACATAATTGCTTTCTTTTTTTTTTTTCCTCTTTTTCTTTTTTTTTGGTGCTGTTCCAGGGCTTGAACTCGGGCATGAGTTGCTGTCCTTGAACTTTTTGCTCAAAGCTAGCCCTCTGCCACTTGAGCCACAGCTCCACTTCTGGCTCTTTTGGTGATTTATTAGAGATAAGGGTCTCACAGACAGTTTGGCCTGGGTTGGCTTTGAACTGTGATCCTCAGGTCTTAGCCTCCTGAGTAGCTAGGATTACAGGTGTGGGCCACCAGCTCCTAGCTTTGCATTTCTTTACTTCAGAGATAGATTATGAGTCTCTTTTCTGTCCTCACCTCTGCATTGCTTTTTATTTTTAATTATCCTTTATTATAGGTTATAGAGTCCTGATCTGTAAATTGTTTTCTTTATCAAAGTATTTGTTATATATGACCTGGCATTGTGGGAGCTTGCCAGCTTCAATGATTAGAGCATTGGTCAGGAAACTAAGGTTCCTGGATTTACCATCATTATATAGGTTCTTGAGTACCTTTCCTTATATTCTATTATTTTTTAAGTATAAGGTAAAAAGATTAATTCCGTAAGATTCTAGGACAGTAGAATATATGTATAAGTGCTTATCTTTAAGCAATAACACACATGTATATACATTTTTAAAGCTAATGTAAATGGCAAAGAAGTTTAAATTATACTAAAGGTATTTGATAAAAGATTGGTTTCTTTTCCACTTTGAAACACCCCTTCTTGTCCTGTGATCTTTTTTCCTGTTGTAAAAGGTAAGCACTGTGGGCAGTGCTTATATAAACATAGGCTATCTGGTACATAGGTATGTACCAGATAGCCTATGTTTATATAAGCATATGTGCCTGCACAGATATCCTATGTTTATATAAGCTATATGTGCCTGCACATGGACACATGCTCATCCCCTTCTGAAAGCAATGGTACAAAAAGCATACTTTGCATGCTGTGCTACACTTGGCCCCAAGTGTAAAATGATTAGGGCATTTTTTTTTTTTTTTTTTTTTGGGTTCGGTCGTGGGCCTGAACTCTGGGCCTGGGCGCTGTCCCTCAGCTCTTCAGCGTGAGGCTAGCGCTCTACCACTTGAGCCACAGCGCCACTTCTGGCTTTTTTTTCCTGCTTATGTGGTGCTGAGGAATCGAACCCAGGGCCTCATGCAAGGCAAACACTCTACCACTGAGCCACCTTCCCAGCCCAGGACATTTTTTTTTTAAGCTTAGTAAGAAATGACTGTCCCAGTAACAGATCTGCTCTGGTGGTTTGTCATGCGTTAGCACTGTTACTTTTGACTGCTTGGAACACTAGTGTGTTTGAATTTAAGGGCATATCAGTTACTTCTCTAAAAGTAAAGATTTTCAAGAGTCTGTATTTTTGTTGGGAGGTAGAGAGTAGTATAGAAATTTATTCAAAGCCATTATCTTTTCTTAGGGAAAGAATTCCATGGCAACATCATTAAAGTGTCATTTGCCACCAGAAGACCTGAATTTATGAGAGGTGGTGGAAGTGGAGGTGGACGGCGAGGTAAGATACTTCTATCAATTACTTGCATCAATTTTTTTTAATTTTTATTTTTCTTAATATATATTTTTTATTGTAAAGATACTGTATAGAGGGGTTACAGTTACATGAGCAAGGTAATAAGCCCATTTCCTATCGAGCATTGTTACACCTCCTTTGTTTTTCCCCTACCATCTCATCCTTCCCCCTAACCCTCCCCCCCACAAAATTGTAAAGTTCATTTTCAGCATACTAAGACAGTTATAACAAGATGTAATAACATCTTGTTATTACAATGGATCATCCTGAATCCTTATTTCAGCATTTTGTTATTTCCCTTTCCCTCCCAAAATTAGAAAAATGTATATACAAGATGCAGGACACTGGAATCAAATACAGTGAGTGACAAAGAGATTGTACCATGGGGGAAGAACATACAAACAAACAAACAAACAAAGATCACATAGTACATGTATATTAATAAGAACAGTAACAAAGATAAAACCTTTTGTGTCCCTATCTTGGGATTCATTCCGTTTAGCATCAGGTTATATGGTCATATGTACATAGCTTTTGACCTCTTCTGCTTGCCCTAGACATATACTAGTTATACTTGCATCAATTCTTGTTTTTTTTTTGTTTTTGTTTTTTTTTTGTCGGTCGTGGGGCTTGAACTCTGGGCCTGGGTGCTGTCCCTCAGCTCTTCAGCTCAAGGCGAGCGCTCTACCACTTGAGCTACAGCGCCACTTCCGGTTTTCTGGTGGTTTATTGGCGATAGGAGTCTCACGGTCTCTCCTGCCCGGGCTGGCGTTGAACCGCGATCCTCAGATCTCAGCCTCCTGAGTAGCTAGGATTACAGGCGTGAGCCACCAGCGCCCGGCTTACTTGCATCAATTCTTAATGCCAAAAAAAGCAAAAACAAAAATGTGCTGTTCACAGGCTGTACACAGGGTTTGAACTTGAGTTCATATTCTATTCCTTCTTGCTTCTATTCTTAGGTTTTGTGGTGGTTTTTTGTTTTGTTTTGTTTTGCTTTTTTAAATCTTAAAATGAAAATGGCCCTAGGTAGATTGTCATAATACCTAAGAAAGTAGTAGGAAGGAAATCAGTGTAGCATCTTGTTTACCTGGCAATCAGAAATAATTATTTAATTGATAGCTGATGGTTTTTCTGACTTTTTAATTTTTTTTTTTTTTGGCAGTTCTGAGGCTTGAACTCAGGGCCTGCGCACTATCTCCAAGCTTCTCTTGCTCAAGGCTAGCAGTTTACCACTTGAGCCACAGCACTACTTCTGGCTTTTTATCTTTATGTGGTACTGAGGAATCAAACCCAAGGCTTCATGCATGCTAGGCAAACACTCTATCACTAAGCCACATTCCCAGCCCTTTAATTTTTTAATTTTTTTGGTCCTGGAGCTTGAACTCTGGGCCTGATTACTGTCCCTCAACTCTTCAGCTCAAGGCTAGAGCTCTACCACTTGAGCCACAGCGCCACCCCCAGTTTTCTGGTGGTTTATTGGAGATAAGAGTCTCATGGACTTTCCTGCCTGGGCTGTCTTTGAATCGCGATCCTCAGATCTCATCCTCCTGAGTAGCTAGGATTATGGCCTGAGCCACTGGCACCCAGTTTAAAATTTTTTTTGATATAATATTTCATTACATCGGCTAGGCTGGTCTCATGAGCTCACCATCCTCCTGCCTCAGCTGCCTGAGTGCTGGGATTATAAACATAAACCACCATGCTCAGTTTTTATCTGACTAAGTTTAAGCCCACTGATAAAGCATCTTTATTTCTTTTAGGTTAATTTCCTCACATTTGTAATCTGTCTTCTTATACCCTTTATCACTGAGATTTATCACTCAAAATTTAGTAGGATATTGTAGAAAGAAGAATTCGAAGTCATCCTATAATGGGGTTAATTTTGAGAGGGTCTGGGGCATAGGGGGTGATCATTGTGGAGATAAGTGGTAGTGGTGGCTGTGGTGTAGGTAGAAATGGAAGCAGAGTACTTTTATTTCAGCTGTTCCTCTGTAATGTTGTAATGTCTACTGCTTCCTCTCATCAGGCCGTGGGGGATATAGAGGTCGTGGAGGCTTTCAGGGGAGAGGCGGAGACCCCAAAAATGGAGACTGGGTTTGTCCTAATCCGTAAGTATCTCCTTTACTTCGTGGAAGTAGAGTTTGGGATTGGAGCTAGGAGGTTCAAGAAGAGATTCTGGATCTAGTAAAAACTAGGAACATTTTATTTTCTTCTTAGATCATGTGGAAATATGAACTTTGCTCGAAGAAATTCCTGCAATCAGTGCAATGAGCCCAGACCAGAAGATTCTCGTCCCTCAGGAGGAGGTAGGTCAGCCACTTTAATAGCAGCAACATGATGCTTGTTTTCTAGCTAGCAATGAACAGGTTTTACATTATTCTGCTTGCTTCATTGATTTGCATTTCTACCTTGCAGATTTCCGGGGGAGAGGCTACGGTGGAGAAAGGGGTTACAGAGGTCGTGGGGGAAGAGGTGGAGAACGAGGTGGCTACGGTGGAGACAGAAGTGGCGGTGGTGGCTATGGTGCAGATAGAAGTGGAGGTGGTTATGGTGGAGACAGAAGTGGGGGTGGCTATGGTGGGGACAGAGGAGGTGGCTACGGTGGAGACCGAGGAGGTGGCTACGGTGGAGACCGAGGAGGAGGCTATGGTGGAGACCGAGGAGGAGGCTATGGTGGAGATCGAGGAGGCTATGGTGGAGATCGAGGGGGTAGCTATGGTGGAGACAGAGGAGGCTACGGAGGAGACAGAGGAGGCTACGGAGGAGACCGAAGTCGGGGGGGCTATGGAGGAGACCGTGGTGGTGGTGGTGGAGGAGGAGGAGGCTATGGAGGAGACCGAGGTGGTGGCTACGGAGGAGACCGAGGTGGCTATGGAGGAGACCGAGGTGGCTATGGAGGCAAAATGGGAGGAAGGTAAGTATATGAATGTGCCTGTGAATCTTTTTACCTTACTGCTCTTAGATTTTATGATTTAAGCTGCTTTTGTCATGTTTTATTTTTCACATACAACCTTTTATAACTTTGAATTCCCTATTGGTAGATTTCAGGATGAAGAAAATCCATTTGATTCATTTCTTACCAGTTTCTAAAGTTTGGTTTGGAAACTTGTAAATCTTTTTTTTTTTTTTTTTTTGTCGGTCATGGGGCTTGAACTCTGGGCCTGGGCACTGTTCCTCAAGGCTAGCGCTCTACCAGTTGAGTTACAGTACCACTTCCGACTTTTTCTGTTTATGTGGTGCTGAGGATTCAAACCCAGTGCATGCGAGGCAATCACTCTACCACTGAGCCACCTTCCCAGCCACTGGCAACTCAGAAATCTTTATAGGAGCATTTCTTTTCATAGTTAATGATAATTGGGATTTAGAGAGTTTATGCCTGTGATATTTGAGTATTTGTTTATTATTAATCTGAGAAAAGAAGATTTTGAAATCTGTGAGCTATCCTATCCTGCAGTTGTTTCTCTGTAGTCTGGTTGTACCTGTTCCAGGTGAAAACCACTGATGGAAGGGGGAGATTATGCATATGAATAATATGTTAAAAAATTGTACAAAAAGTGTATGGGCAACACCCAGTCCTGAGTGCAAGTTCCAATACTGGCATCCCATACCCCCCAAATCAAAGAACACATGGTAGAATATTACCCAAGGATCCATATGTCAGAGGCTGCATATGTCAGTGAGAAGTGTATTTGATTAAGAGTGTAGAGGTGAGAGACAGACTGGGTTCTACTCCCATCATTTTTTAGCTATTAAACTTAGGCAAGTAATTTAGCTCTTTGGAGCATCAATAGTTCCATCTGTATAATGCAGCTAATAATGTATGACTCCTTTGTAGAGTTGTATAAAACTATAACAGTAGCTGGCCCAGAGAAAACATTGTATAATTGTTGGCTATTAGCAGTTATTTAGAGCCTAATTAATGTCTTAAACACTTGTTACTATATGCCAGATACTTTATATATATTTAATACTATACCTATTGACTCCCTGAGGTTAGAGATGCAGCTCCCACTTTAGAATTAAAGACTTTAAGTTTAGTAATATATTGTGGTGAGTCAGAATTCATACATGAAATGAATAATTAGGATTTTCTTAATATTGCTATACTTAGTATTACTATGCTTTCTATGTTACTCTGTTTGGAGACTGAAATTGGCATAGCTTGATCTGAAATATTACAGGTATTTGGTAGTTCTTAGTGTAGGTGAAAAATTACTAAAGAAAGTTATTGATAGTAAAGCTTCAAGGAACTTGTCTTAAAGTTGATGTTAGAATTAATTAATTTATGTATGTATTTATGTATGCCAGTTCTGGGCTTAAACTTAGGGCCAGGGTGCATGCTGTCCCCAAGCTTTATTAAGGAGCTTTTTTGCTCAAGGCTGATGCTCTACCACTTGAACCAGTTTCACCCCTGGCATTTTTCTGGTTAATTGGAATCTCATGGACTTTTCTGCCCAGGCTGCCTTTAAATGGTGATCTTCAGATCTCAGCCTCCTGGGTAGCTAGGACTATAGGCTTGAGTCACTGGTGTCCAGCTTAGACATTTATTAAATTCCTTCTAGGAATATAGGAATAAACTATGGATGCTGCCAGCCTTACCGAAACTGTCTAGCTGATGGTAGTTACTAGCACCCTGAAGAGAAATGTCTGATGTTCTTTTAGCAGAAAATTACAATTTAGTTTCTTTCATTTTTAATTTCTAGGAATGACTACAGAAATGATCAGCGCAACCGACCATACTGATGACTATTTTGAATTTGTCTCTGACATGATTCATAGTGAAATTGCCAGAGTTTGGCCTGCTGCTTTCCTCATGGCCTCTTCTTGAGTAGTGAAATTAAATGACATTGGATTCTTATTGGGGGGGGGAGAGGGAGGTGGCGTCTGGGACAGTTTTTCTTTTAGGAATGTCTGTTGAAATTTCCCTTTTTAGTTTCCAACCTTTTCCTTCCCAACCTTTGAAGCTAAGTGCGTTGTAAAATATTGCCAAAATGGAAAGTGTTTTGTAATACTGCAATAAAGGCTGCTTGTTTTTTGTGGACTTCAGTGTATCATTCTATCACAGTTTTCAGGTATAGTCTGCTTAAACCTGAAGAATTAGAAAATGAATTCTTTCCTTCCTTTCTTTCCTTCCTTCCTTCTTTCTTTTCCTTTCTTTCTTTCTTTCCCTCCCTCCCTCCCTTCCTCCCTCCCTCCCTCCCTTCCTTCCTTCCTTTTTCTGTTTATGTGGTACTGAGGAATTGAACCCAGGGCTTAGTACATTCTAGGCAAGCATTCTACCACTAAGCCAGCCACTTTCCCAGCCTGTCACCAGGTGATTTTTTAATAGTTAGTTTAGTACTTATTTACAGTTGAGGACCATTTAGGGCAATGCTCTAGATGTTGGGCATATGAAATTCTAAGGGGTAAATAGGAAGTAAAATTCTATAAGCCAGGGTTAAAATATAATATACTTGCTATTTGCTTTTCATTGGAGAAATAGCTTACCTTTCCTGTTGGCATGACACTGGATCAGATGCTAGATAGTTCCTGGATACATTGCTGCTCAAATAAACAGCAGTTTGATAAGCGTAAGTACAAGGTCTTAGAGCTTTGGCTCAAGTGCTTGGAGGTTCTGGGTTCATTTTTCAACATTTAGGAGGGAAATGAAATAGTCCAAGATGCATTGAAGGTTGATTATAGGACACTTAATCTAGCCATAAGAGGAGGAAAGGTTGAATTAATAGAATAGGGAGCAGGTTCTGTACTTTGAGACTAAAGGGAAGAATTCAAACATGGTATGGAAGAGGGTAAACTGGAGAGATAAAAAGTTCTTGGATTACATTTTCAACTACCTTGAAATGACATCAGATTTTTAAAAAAAAATTTTAAGTTTATTTTAAAGTCACAAATACCTTTTAATCTTCACAATGATAGTCATCATTATCTACATTGCTTTTGAACTCTATGACCTTTTTTTTTTTTTTTTTTTGCTGGTCATGGGGCCTGAACTCTGGGCCTGGGTGCTATCCCTCAGCTCTTCAGCTCAAGGCTAGCACCCCACCACTTGAGCCACAGCACCACTTCTGGCTTTTTTTGCTTATGTGGTACTGAAGAATTGAACCCAGGGCCTCACACATGCAAGACAAGCACTCTACCACTGAGCCACCTTCCCAGCCCTGAACTCTATGACCTTTAACAAACTACTTTTTACAAGTTGCGTGTTATGTATATTTCTTTCCTTTTGCGTAGTGTCAGCTGTTCCCTCTTTCTCATTCCCACCTTCCCATCACTGCCCTTCAGTTGCTTAGCTCACTTCCATCAATGTCCAGAGCAGCTGATGGGCCTCTCTGTATTTATTTCACCCACTTTCCACTGATTCTGTGTTCTACTTGCACCTCTCAGATGTGCATGTGTATACACCATATATGAGGTAAAGAGTACAGAATCATCTAAAAACGATAGGACAAATTAAGAAGATGTCCTTTGTTTCCTTATCTTTGGGGTTCTTTTCACTGTGCTTATTTTATATACAAACAAAGGGGTGCTTGGGTATTGTGATTTGGTGTTTCTCCCCCAAGACTATCCTCTTTTGGTCTCACTGTGTATTGGATAGCTTGAGTCCTGTTTTATATTGTCATATCTCATTGCATTTTAATTTTAATATCTGTTATAGAGAAGATGCACCATTTATTTCTCTGATCTTGGTTTATCTCTCAACATTTGTTCTAGTTCCACCCATTTCCCTGTCAAAAACATTATTTTATCCTTTCTAATGGCTGTGTAAAATTCCATTGTGTATAGGTACCACATGTTTTTGGATCCATTCAACTGTAGTGGGGCATCTGGGTTTTCCATATCTTGGCTATTGGGAACAGTGGGGCAATGACAGATTTTTTTTTTTAATTTTTAATTATTTTTTCAGTTCTGAGGTTTGAACTCAGGGCCTGGGTACTGTCCCTGAGCTTCTTTTGCTCAAGGCTAGCACTCTGCCACTTGAGTCACCATGCCACTTCTGGCTTATTTCTGTTTATGTGGTACTGAGGAAACAAACCCAGGAGTTCATGCATACTACCACTAGCCACATTCCCAGGCCATTACATTAGGTTTTAAGCAAGTGTGACATGATCTGATTTGAGTGGCAACAACTGAAATGATGATGCTGCTTTAGGAAAAGGCAGAACTATAGACAGATGGTAAGGTTTGTGAGAGATTACTCTTGTCCTGAGCTGAGAGATTTGACCAGTTGAATGTCTTTAATGTGAGGAAAAGCTAGGTTTTTGACCTGGGAAGATAAACTGTCTATTGAGGTAAAAACAAACAAAAAACACTGATGACTACCAAATGTGTTTGCAGTTCTGATTCCCCTCTTTAAATTTTTCCTCTCCTAGTTACTTAAAGCTTTCTACTTGGTTATAAAAATAGGTGCTTAAAACTTAAATATGTATTGAATAGAACTTCTGATATTTCCTTGCAGATCAGTTTCTTCCTTGTCTTCCTAATCTCAGTAAATATTTTCAATAACCACACAGGTTGGATACGATTAAAATTGAAGACCTTGATTTCTCTTTCATTCATCCTCAACATTGTAAGCATGGGTTTGAACCTCAATCCTCAGATCTCAGCTTCCTGAGTAGTTAGGATTACAGGTGTGAGTCACTAGCATCTGGCTTTCCCCTCCTCCCCCACCCTTTTTGTAAGTAGCTCTAAGATACCAAATGTTCAAGCCAGGCCATGTTACATAGGACAGAAAGTATGAATTACATTTTAGCATTATGGAAATTTTGAATTATTTCAGCAAGGATTTTTCATCCTTGAAACTATTGACATTTTGTGTTGGACAATTCTTTAATTTTGGAGACTGCTTGATGCATCCCTGACCTCTATCTACTTACTGGATACCAACTAGTATGTAGTAGGCCATGGATACTGCATGCAAGTTGTGATAGCAAAAACTGTCTCTAGACTCTAGGGGGAAGACTTGTTCCTTGTTGAATATCGTTGTTTTAGTAAAAGTTTTGGTAGAATTGAATTCTGTACCCAAACTAAAATGGGATAATCTGTAATAGAAATTGGATAAATGGAGAGAAGTTAATGTGGAAAACTAAGATTTTTTTTTTCAGGGTGTTCGCAGGGATTGAACCAGTTCCTTGCATATGCCAGGCAAATACCTTTAAGCTCGGCCCCTTTCTTCCTCCCCCCTCCCCCTGCCAATTTTGACATGGAGTCTTGCTGGGAACATTTTAGGTGGAAGCCCTGTATTCAGACTCCAGACCAACCCCCCCCCCCCCCCCCCATACACACACACACAAGCCTTACTAATTTGTCCACTGACCTCTAACTTGATGTTTTCCTGTTTAAGTCTCTGGAAAAGCATGTGCCACCAACACCTAGCTCAAGAACCTTAATTATGAAGGGTGATAGAGGTGGGGTGATAGGAGAGAAAGTAGCAGCTATACAGGAATGTGGGCATGCATCTGGGCAGTAACTTTAGTTTTTTGAAATTTATATTTGAAAATGTATCCTAGTATCTTAGCCCTCAGAAAGTTAGTGAAGGAGGCTCATAAGTTTGAGGTCAGCATGGACTTAGTAGTTGAGATCCTATCAAGATAATGAGGGGGAAAAAAAGCTTTAATCTCTCCCGTCTAGTTTTTTTTTTTTTTCTCCTCTCTAGGTTTTGCCTTAGGATTAGCTTTGACATCAAATTCTGAGCCCAGCCAAGGATTTGATTCAGAGGTAAGGTGGCTGTATAGGGAAGTATTGGCTCTGTCCCCTTTCCTCTAGTGGAAAGGACAAATGATGACATACAATACCTACCAGGAGCAAGGAGAGCACAGCAGACTAGTGGTAGTATAATGATACTCATTTATTTGTGAAAGAGGAACCTAGATTGTTTTCTCATGGGAAGGAGAGAGTAGAAGAACTCACAACTTGTAGGTTTGTTTTCTGGTTATGGCCTGCCAAGCTTCCTTGGTCTGTGACCTTTGTTTTTGTGGTTTAGAGAAACAGGGTGGGAAAGCAGGTATTTTTTTCCTTTTTCCTTCCTTGTCGCAGAATTGGGAAATAAATAATGGGTTCAGTTTTGCACGTCGAAAGTCATAGATGTTTAATTTTTCTAGGATGTCAGGCTCTTTACGGAACCTCGTAGGCTCTTTCACCTGGCTGGTGGTAGGTACCGCAGAGACAAAGAAAATCCTGTTCCTCAGCTTCTTTTGGGCCCAGGGGTTGATGGAGGCCAAAAGAAATAATGTTTCTTGTAGCTGCAGTGAAACAGAGGTCCAGGGCTGGTTCAATTTGGGCTTAGGCTAGGAGGAGATGAGGATGGGGAGGGGTGACCCTAGAGAAGGGACGGGCTAGCCACATGCCACTATAGCCCAAGGAACCAGATATCAAGGCACAGTATCTCCCCTTTCCTGATCAGGAACAAATGAGATTAGTGGGAAGAACTTGGAGGAGTAGGATAGAGGAAGGCCTTACACTCTTCTTCACAGTCTGGCTCTTATCAGCATCTAGCATATCCAGGAGCAAGTGAAACACTTGTGGGCTGTGGACCCCCAGGACGCCCTGGCAGAGGCAAAGTTGAGCCTGCCTAAGTAACCAGCCTTGAAAGACACTCATCCATCCTTCCCAGTTCAAGCCCTTGTCACTTTTTCCTTGTCACTTGGAGTTCTAGTTTCCATTATTTATCAGGAAAAGTCAAGACATTCTAAAACACCTAATAGTATCTTTGATACCCATCTTCTATCCTCTAGCCCACCTGCCCTGAAGAAAAGGTAATACTGAGTTCTTGATAGGGCTAGAATTCTATAGTAAACAACCTTCCCAGACTTGGTTTCAATGCAGCTTTCTTCCCTT